CCTGCTGCAGAGCAGATGTACAACTGGGAAGTGTCTGTGTCCATTGTCTTGTAGGCTAATTCCTTGGCCTTCAAGCATTAGATGACTTTGGCTTGTACCAGCTCTCAAAAAAGATTTGCAGTATTCACACAAACTTGCTCTCCCTCATGTTCTGAATAAAGAAATTTAGAATACAATAGAATGGACAACAGGAAGGCGTCTTCATTTAAACTTGCCCTATGTGACAGATGTTTATACAGCATTCTCGTAGCATTGGTCCTGGGCTGAGGTCTCCTTACTCCTTGTCCATGCCATATGAGTTCTAATAAAAGTCCCTAAGTATTTTTTTTCAGTATGACAAACTATACCTTAAAATATATTCCAAAAAACTACAAAATCCAACAGTAATAGATATATAGCACCTAACAAATCAGGAGGATATAAACAACTTAACAGATCTCTAACAAGAAATAAGGTTAAAGCAGTAATAAAATAAAAAAAATAATAATAAAAAAAAACTCTCACAACTACAAAATCCAAGCCCAGACGGAGTCACTTTGAATTCTACCAGACTTTAAAGAACTACTACCAGTGCACCTCTGCCAGTGCCAGCCGGCCAAGATGGACAGTACCTGAAAGGGGGAGTGAGGATTGAAAGAAAAAACAAGAGACAGAGAAAAAGATACTTGGGAGGCCTGTCAGTAGAGACTGCAGTCCCGGTTTATTTTAGCTCCGCCTTTTTATACAGAAGAACATCAGAGATCTTAATTAATGTCAACAGCTGTTTTTCCCACCTGTATTTGAGGGTCAAGGAGTGGTCAAATACTTGTTTTGTGAGCGCCACCATATAAACACATTCCTCCTGACTTGGCAGATTAGGTACTGGTGTGCAAAACACAAACTCAGTAAACAAGCCTGCCACAGCTCAATGTACATAATGGATTAATAGCTCCCAACACACCTCAAAATAATAATATAGAAAAAGAAAGAATGCTACCATGATATTTTTGTAAAGTCAGTGTTACCCTTATTCCAGAATTAGAGAAGAATACACCAAATATAAAGTTGCAGACCAATTCCCATGATGAATATAGATGCAAAAATTCTCAGTGTGAGTAGCAAAAACAGTGAATCTTTCTGCAAGGAACAATATGTTCTAAAATGAAATGGAGATCTTTTTTAAAGGTTAAAAAACTCATTTAATTTTATGTCTTATAGGGCTTATACTGAGTTCAATATTGTATAACTGTATTAACTGTGAACCTAGAAACTTGCACCCACTTGTGAAAGAGATGTACTCTTGCTCTGGAGTATGTTACTGAATATGTTAAATCTGTAGTGAAATGCTTCTTTTAATCAAGTAGTTATTAAAAATTAAAAAAAATAATGATTAAAGAAACTGTCAAACTTTAAAAAAAAATTCTCAAAATACAAACTGAATTCAAGAATGCACCAAAGGGATCTTTTACCATGATCAAGTTGGTTTTATCCCAGGGATACCATGCTGGTTTAGAATATGAAAACCAAGAAGTGTTTTACAACACATAAGTAGACTTAGAGACAGAAATTATATGATCATCTCAATAAATGCAGAAAAGGCTTCTAACTAAATCCAACATTGCTTCATGATAAAAGTCTTGAAGAGACTAGAAAAGAAGGAACATATCTTAACATTATAGAGGCTGTACATGATAAATCCATAGCAAACATCATGCCAAATGGGGAAAAATGGAGAGCATTTCTACTAAAACCAGTAGCAGGACAAGAATAACCACTTTTTCCTCTCTTATTCAACATAGTACTTGAAGTCTTAGTTACAGCAATAAAAAGAAAATAAAGGAATGCAAATAGGAAAAGAAAGTGTCAAAATATCATTAATTGCAAACAATATGATCCCATATGTAAGAAACCCTAAAGATTCTACTAGAAAACTCCTAGAACTGATAAGAACTTTGAGAAAACTGACAGGATATAAAATCAGTGTATAAAAATTAGTAGCATTCTTGTAAACCAATGACCAACACACTGATGAAGAAATCAGGAAAACAATCCCATTCACAATAGTCTCGGAAAATCTAATAAAATGACTAAAAGTAAACTTAACTAGGGAGATGAAAGACCTTTACAGTGAAAATTTAAAATGGTGCTGCAGAAAGAAATTGAAGAAGGCCCTGTAAGACCTCCCATGCTCACAGATCAACAGAGTTAATCAGAAAATGTCTATACTACCAAAAACAATCCATAGATTTAATCCAATTACCACCAAAATTCCAATGACATTCTTCACATAAATAAGAAAAACAACTCTTAAATTCATATAGAAGCACAAAGGACCTCAGCTAGCCAAAGCAAGCCTAAGTAAAAAGGACAGTGCTGGAGGTTATCACCACATGTGGCTTCAAGTTATACTACAGAGCCCTAGTAATAAAAGCAGCATGGCACTGCCTACAAAAACACATACATTAATGGAATAGTGTACAGGACCCAGAAACAAACCCCATGCAGTTACAGCTACCTGATTTTTACCAAATGCCAAAAATGCACATTGGAGAAATGACAGCTTGTTCAACAAATGGTGTTAGGAAAACTGGATGTCCACATATAGAAGAATGAAATTCAATCCTTATTTCTCACCTTGTACAAAAATCAGTTCCCAGTGGACATTAATATAAGACCCAAAATTCTGAAAATGTTATTTTAAAAAAGCAGGAAATAATTCCAAGATATAGAGACAAGCAAGAATGTCTTGAAAATGACTCCAGTTACTGGGGAAGTAGTGACCACAACTGGTCCTCTAAATAGTATGAAACTCAAAAGCTTCTCCACAGCACAGGAAACAATGGATTGAAGAAACAGCCTACAGATAGGAGAAAAGCTTTACTAACTACAAACCTGACCAAGGATTAATCACAACTAAATACCAGAATCAAACAACCCACTCAATAAATAGGTCAATAAAATAGACATTCTCTAAATATGAAGTACAAATGGCCAATAAACAAGAAAAAATTATCAACATCACCAGCCATCAGGGAAATGCAAATTAAAACTACATTGGGAACCTTCTCACCCCTGTCAGAAGAGCTGTCATTAAGAAAAAAACAGCATATACTGGCAAGGATGTGAGGCAAAGGGAATGCTTATGCACTGCTAGTAAGAAAATAAATTAGTACAGTCACTGTGGAAATCAGTGCAAAGGATACTCAAAAACCTAAACTTAGAAAGAACTACTATATATTAGCCAGCTGTATTACTCTTGAGTATTTACCTGAAGAACTTTGAGCAAGAGATACTTGCCTATCAATGGTTATTCCACTCTTTACAGTAGCTAAGTTATAGAGACAACCTAGATGCCCATCAACATAGAACTCAGTAAATAAGTGTCATAAATATTACAAAAGAATTTTCTTCAATCATAAAGAATAAAATTATGTCCTGTGTAGGAAATGGATGCAACTTGAGATTATCATTTTAAGCAAATTAAGTGAGACTGAGAAAGACAAGCAGTGCGTATTTTTCTCTTATTTGTGAATCTTAGATGTATGACATGAAAATAGAAGCAAAACTGTGTGGAGACTTAAGGGAACTAATTGCTGGGGAGGGGAAGGACAGGGTTAGTAAGTATGGTGAGCATTTGAAAATACTTATATGAAAGTACTTATATGAAAAAATCTATGAAACTTAGGACTGTGTATAATGAATAAATACCAATAAAGTTGTTTTTAAACCACTTAAGAAATATAGTACATGAGCCGACATGGTGGCACACACCTTTAATCCCAAAACTCAGGAGGCAGAGGCAAGCAGATCCCTGCAAGATCAAGGCCAGCCTGATCCACATAATGATTTTCAGGCCAGCTTGGGCTACAGGGAGACCCTGTCTCAAAAAATAAAACAAAAGAAAAAGAAAAAAGAAAGAATATAGCACAATTATGAAAAGATAACAAATGTTGACAGGGCTGGAGGTTGAGGTCAGAGGAGAGGGAATTCTTGTACATTATTAGTGAGAATGTAGACAAAGTCATTGGGAAGAACAGTGTAGAGATTTCTAAACAGCTTAAAAATGGAATGACCATATAATTCAGCAAATTGTCTTCTAGGTGTGTGTCCAAAGGAAATGAAATGATCACCTTATAAAAACTAAAAACCAAACATCACATGCAATAGCACCCTGCCCAGTGTGGACAGTGTGTCCAGGGAGGGCCCGAATTATATGGAGCACTTAGAGAAAAAAATATTCCCAGACTTCTTGCTAGAGATGCTGATTCAGGAATACTGATGTGGCACCATGGAAACAGGATGTCCAAAGGCAGCCTGCCTGGGGACATTTTTCAGTTGCAACAACTTGGAGTTGTGTGTGTTACTAGCATGTAATGGGTATTGGTCAAGGAGGCTGCTGAACATCTTACCATGCAAAACCCTCATTTCGGAAAGTTAGTTGGAACTGATTAAGAAACTGAGAATATAACTATTCTTGGGAAATGATTTTAAAGTTAACTGATCCTTAAACAGTAATAAAGGGGAAACGTTTATTTAGAGCTACCTGAAATTCCTTTTAAAATACCATGATGTGTAAATAGGACTACTTCCATAAAAGCTATCTAACCAACCAAACAAAACCTAGTTGAGCAGAAGTCTGCATGAATTTTTAACAGTTGTTTTGACCTTTTGGCTCTGTCTCACTTTGTCTCACAGATGCTCTTTCCTACTTTTATTTAATCTCTGCAGATCAGATGCTCATAATCAGAAAATACAATAAATTACTGGAAGTTATTTTGGTTCCTGTCAATGATAGGTTTGGATTAATAATGAAACCAATTAAATCCTCAAATACCTCCATTGGCAACAATAAAAATTTAATTTCCAGGGAGCAGTAAGGTTAGCTATATTGAACACCATATGCAATCACAGTGAAAACCGAATTTTCAAATACTGGGGACCTCTACTATTTTGTCAAAGAACCAGCACCTCACTGATTTAATCAAAGTAATAATGGAAGAACATGTGCTCTTTTTTTCTAGCTGTCTTGTGCATCTCTAATGACAATCAGTCAGCAGAAATGACGGAGTGCCTCAAGAAGATGAATGGCATGCCCACCCTTGTGCAGGAATGCACCATACCCTGCCGGGAAGACTGCACCTTCACCCCTTGGTCCAAGTTTACACCCTGCTCCAAGAACTGTGAAGGCACTCAGAGTAGGCGACGGCAGCTTGCAGGTAGGGTGCACCTGTCGCTCCAGCTTTAACCAAGTCATGCTTCTCTGAACCTCCCTTTTAAGAGCCAAGTCCCAAAAGAAAGAAATTGGATCCGTTATCTCCTTCCCCCTCACTCCCAATGCATATCCTCACAACATGTAGCAATGCCTAACACCTAATGAATACCTGGCTAATATTTATGAAATGAATGAAGGATGGGACCGATTTCGACAATCAAGTTTTCTATACAGTTTTATAATCTTTATAGTCCTAAGGGGAATTTTATGCAGCAAATTATTTTGAGTAACGCATGGTAAAGTTGTTGGTGTTTTATCATGCCAGGAATTCAGCAAGTTTAAAAACACCCACTGCTTTGGAAAGAAGATCAAATACCTGACATTATTGTCTTTTGCCTTTACCCGATAAGCAATTTGACCCTTTCAGACTTTAATTGTGTAAGGTAAAAGTCAAATTACACATGCAGATTCAGATTGTCCTTTCGTGTCTTATTACTGTCAGTTCTGTGTGCTTCTGCAAAGGTTAATGGAAATTGGAGTGGATACTAGTGTTGCTGAAGTCCTGGAGCAACTTTTGGTTGCAACATATAAATAACTGCTGTGGTAGCATATTTGACTATTT